TTTTTCTATAATGCTAATATCCCTTCAAAATCAAAGTAGACACTGGGACCTGTGCTCATCAATATACATTGTTGAAAACATTTTAGTAGATGTGTGTCATTTTGGTAATTGGAAGAAATACTGTTTAAAAGTCTCTAGTTAAAAAAAAAAAAACTGATGCCTATTCCTTCCCTTAGCAGGTTTTTTTTTTTTTTTCATCTCTAATAGTCACTGGTTATTTGGCAAGAAGTGTTCTGCATGTGGAAATGAAAATGAAAATAATTTGAAGAGACTAGCATCTTCCCTTAAGTATTTCTGTTACAGTGGCTTGACTAGCTTGTTGCTAGCTGGCCTCCTCCAAAATAGTTTTAAATAATGATCAAAAAACAAGATCACATCTTAGATTGTAGAACAAATTACAGAAAAAAGAAACAGCAGTGGTTCTTGGAAATCAGATGGGTAGCTTCAGGCTGCAGCAGTTTGCCCTCCTGTCAGCCTAACTGTTTATCTGTGACCATCAAAGAGAATTTTCTATTGCTTGCGTTCCCCATGTTTTAGTCCTGTCTTTGGCATGGATTGTTGGGGAACTGCCATGCTCAGGCTGTGCTTACTGTCCCCTCTGCCCATAGCGGGCATCTTATGGAGCCCAACCTGTACTTCCATTGCCCTCTCTAGAGCAGTGTTTCTGTGGCTTCCTGTGATTACACATGGGACCCATGGCCATATTAGAATTAGCTTCCATCACCAGAGTCTTGCATTGGGTTTTTATGACTATTCATAAACATAGAGACATATGAGCCACTTCTTCAAAATTCTTTCCTGCTGTATAGATGGATATGATGAGAAAGGAAAATAAATATACTGGATTAGAAGGTGTGAATTCTGACCATGGCATTACTGCCCCTAGTTCTGGTACATTTTTCTTGTTGGTTTTGTGAGTTTAGGCAAGTTACTTAACCTGTCTGTCTCGCAGTTTCTTCATTTGTTGAAAAGGCAAATGTCTCCATCATAGGAAGGGTGTAAAGATTGGATGAAGTAACACCTTAGGCTGTCCAGAGTGGAACCTGTCACCTCTCTGTGAAGGTCAGGTCAACTTCTCTTACTGTCTTCACTCCTATCTCCCAGTCAGAGTAAGGGTGGAATGGCCAACAAATAAAAACTAGTTCTTCCTTGCCCAAAGTTACGCCTTCAGTAGCACAGTCTTCCTGCTTTCCTACTCAACGCGGTGCACTATTCATTAACTCTCCTGCATCTTCAGTTCCCTGTATGAATAAGAAGTTCATGTCAAATCGAATCAGATAAAGGGAGGAGGGCAGGAAGAGGAGGAATCCCTTTGTCCCAGCTGCTTTCCCTGAATCTGTCTTCCTTGGCTTGGGCAATGAACTCAGCCAACCAATTGCTTTGAAAGGATCATTAGTTCTTTCTTCTCTACCCCACTCTGTGGTCGATAAATGCTTACCAACTGATAGCTCTTTCCACTACTCTCCTGGCTCTGCTATTTTAAGTTGCCCTTAAATAAAACCAAGTTCTTAAATTTATATTAAATGTGTAAGAATATTCTGACATCCTTGAATAACAGAACCATCCAATAAAAATATCATGCAACCAGCATATGTGATTTCAAATATTCTAGCAGTCGTTAAAAAGCAAAATGCCACTTAAAAAGTGAAAAGTAATAAAAGATTGTATTTACCCAAACATCTCCAAAATATTATTTTAACAAGTAATGAACACTACCAGTTTTCATTTTTATTGTTTTGTACAAAGTCTATGGGATCTGACATGTATTTTATACCTACAGCATGTTTCAATTTGGACTCCAAGTACTCAATGGCCATGTGTAATTATTAATTATTATATTGGGAAGTACATGTCTACACAATTTGGTGGAGTTTTTCCAGCACTGTGTTTTAGCTTTTGAAGCAGCTTTATTTTTTTATTGAATATCCTGGTTCTCCTCTGCATCTTTGCCATCTTCCTTTCTCTCTATGTGTTATCACCTTCTCATGGATGACTCATGAAAAGATCTGTCCCGCTTCTACTCTAAAGCAGTTCTGTCTCCTCAGAGCACCAAGAAGCCATGTAAAATTAATAGGATGACCAGGAGCACACCAGTTAGATCAGGCAAAAGGTGGGGACCGAGAAGAAAAAGGAAAAATGTGTTCATTTCCCCTGTAGTCTGCCAACACCCAGAACCAATTTTCCAGAGTATACTTTGAGTGCTTTTTGTCCTTCCTTCCTTTCTGCATCCTCTTAAGCAATGGCTCATGCTCTCATATCTGACAGGGACCATATTATACTGGAATGTCCTGATGCATCATTTACCTCACTAATCACCCAGGCTTTTGGACAGCAGCTGATATAATTTAAAAGTTTATAAAAAGTGCACTTGGAATATCACTGCAGCTGTCTGCAGTGTCTACTTGTGGGATGCAATGACTGATTTACTGAGTACTGGAGCATTGTGGGTGACAAGCTCTTGGTTATTTAGCATGTCTTATTTTAGCCTCAGAAGAACTCTGAGAGCCAATTTTATGTGCATCCCACAGCATGTATGGTAAATCTGGTCTCTGAGGCCGCTTGTGTGTGTGAAATCCTCATGATGAGATGTAGCACCCTCACAATGATCTACTTCCAAGTTTTATGCCAACTTGTTTTATGTTTCTTTCTAGGATTCAGCTGGCAGTAAAAATGTCTAGAGACAGAGAGTTAACACATTTTAATAGGAAGATATGTGGAAAGAGTAGACTGACTATTACCTCAGTTCTTTTCTACATTCTGTTGTAGGAAATAGTATTGCCTTATGGGACTAGTATCCTGTGGGATTGAAATAGTATTGGCCCAGTATAGGAGATGAGGTCAGTCACTGCCATTTAAAAATCAGAACAACTCGCTCCTTCCTGGCTTTCATCACTGCTGGCATGTGTTACATGACAAGTTTTTGACTCACAAAATTTAATGGGATTATCTGAGAGTTCGGGCTTCTCACCTGTTTGGGGAGATTAGCACACACCTGTTGTACCCATGTTTCATCCACTCAGCTTTTATATTAACTGCCCCTATTAAAGCAGTGTTGAGATTTCTAGGCCTTTCCACTTTAAGAATAAATAAACCTTGCTTGTAATGCTTAATAATATGAAATGAACGATCTCTGAAATTTAGCTATATTCACGGTACACTTCACTTTGAGGAAAGTCTCAACTCATTCTTCTGGTTGTCTTTTTATATGGAATTACTGTAATATTTGTAAGAAATTATTTACTTTATAAAAATTAATAAATTAAAGAATACATTTTATAACTCTTGGTAAAATACTCTCTGTGGGTTCTAATATGTTCATATCATCTAGTTCTAACTGAAACACCAGGAAAGCAGACTGACTTCATAAATACAATATTTTAAAGATAGGGACTACTACTAGAGTGTGTATATTACCAAGCATTCTGAAAAAATGAGGTCTATTTCATGTGGATGGTTTAATTATTTTTTTCTTAGCACCGATACTGAATGAAAATTATGGGTAACAAAGATTTGCAACTAGAAGAAAGCTGGGGAAAGCCTCTGGTTGGAAATTCCATGTTGGAGAATGCTAACGATTGGTGCAGAAATTTTGCTTTTGTAGGTATCAGCCGTGTAGTAGTCTGGAGTGTGCTATTTTAGGTGAGCCGCTAACTCTTGACTTCTGTGGTATGTGCATGTGTGGGGCACATTTATTGTGAATTTCAGACCTGGTCTAGCTTTCTTCTTAGCTTCGTGCTTCATGTATGTCTGTATATTATAGGACTTGGAAAAACTTCTAGGGCTATTACAGGCAGGACAACCAAGGTTTGAGAAAGACATGGCATCAGATTTAAAATGCGCCACTATTTCGAATGGGCTGGCAGTATTCATTTTTCAGGTTTCATTCCCCCCGATGACAAAGGTACAAGACTTTAGGGTAGCCATACGTGGTAGCAGGGCACCGTAGAAAGAAAACGGACTTTGGAATCCTGTTTACTTTGTGATAAATCTTGACTCTGCCACTTACTACATGGTCCTGACTATGCTGCTTAACTAACTTCTCCAAAACTCACTTAAATTGTCTTAATGGTGGTTATATTATACTTGTCTCAGAGTACCGAAAAAAATAGAAATGATGCTCAAAATCAACTAGAAAACTGTCCAGAGTACGGTAGTCTCTTAAGAGTCATATAGATGATGTTGCACGAGACTTGAGAGTAAAAAAAAAGACTCAGCTCTCATTATTTAATTGGAATAAAGAAACTACCAGGAAGTTCCAAATATAGGTCCCAAGTTAAGTTACGGCATCAGTTAAAAGTGCATAGTTTCAGGTGCGGGGGTGATGTTCAGAGGGAGAGCATGTGTTAAGTATCTGTGATGCCCTAAGTTTAATCCCTAGTGCACACAAAAAAAGTAGAAATGTATGCCTTCCTTCAAGTTCTTTGATATTTGTCCTTTTAGCAATGCATATGACTTGCACTATAAAGTAAGGCTACATGAATGTGGGCGTCATGCCTCTAGTCATTTATAATGTCAGTGATTTTAATAACTTTTCCATTTACTTTCTGAATACAGGTTTCTAGCAATGGCAGTAAACTACTTTTGAATTGTCTTTTTAATAATAGAAGATATAATCCTACATATGCTGTTTAATATCTTTATGTAGGTCTATGTAACTACACTCAGATTCATACCTGTATCCAAGAAAGAATACATGTTTAAAATGAACACATGATTTATGGGCTGCTTAAGAACCCACTTTAGTTCTTTTCTTGAGATTTTGAATTATTTCCTTCTTGCCATGGAATAAATCATTTTTATACTTTTGGGATTATTTTTTCTCTTAAGCACATAGAGGTTGAAATGATGAAAAAAGCTCATGTTAATTTAATATGAGATTAAATTCATATTATGAGGAATTAAAATAGCTTAAGTTTTGAAAAATTGCAGAATTGGTTGAGTTTTTCCCCACTTATCCTGATCACTTGAATTTTGATTTTTCTTTGTTGCTTCTTACCTAGGTCACTTGTTGGTTTCAGAAAACGGTAAGAGATTTGCAGGAGCAAAGTCTAGGTTCATCACTTTCCGACAATGAAGAACTAATTTGTAAACACGAGAAACTGATAATAAAAGCAAAGGTAAGAGGCACTGTCTACATTAAAAATAATTTAAAAATGCATCAATTTCTCTTGCATATGCTTATATGAGTAATTTAGAGGAAAATGAAAAAAATAAACAAAAACTATCTTTAAATAACCCACCATTTAGAGAAAGACTGTCATCACCCTGCTCGTTGCTGAGGCTCAGAAAATAATAATAAACAAACCCATGGCTTTCCCAACCATGAGTATATTTTTTGATGAGTTACTATGCACCAGCCACTATACTTAGTAAGTATATTAGATGCATTATTTAAATTATCACAGAATTCTTAAGAGGTTTTTTTTTTTTTTTTTTTTTTTGGTGTGTTTTGTTTTATGGAGTAAACCAAATAAAACAGAGGCTTGGAAATGCAATGGAGCAGTGGCGATTTAGGCTAATCCAACGCCCAAATTCTTAAATGTTGTGCTTCACTCACTTTCCATAAAAATCACTTTATCTGCGCTGAGATCTCATCACATTTTCACTTTTATGATTTCCAGGTATAGTTTGATCACTATTCCCACTTACACACCCTGAGCTTCTTAACTTGCTTAAGATTTCTCCATTTTGCAAGAATCAGTGGCCACCAGCCAGGCATCTCTTGTCGGTGTAGTGCAAAAAAAAGGAAGCAAGAGGAACACAGCAGCTGAGCCGCAGTTGCTCCCTCTCCACTGTGTCTTGTTAGTTGGAAATAAGGCTCAGCTGTACATATGGGATCTATAAATACTTTCCAAGGCTCTTTACAGGTGCTTCCTATCGATCTGCAAGAAATAAAAGCCCATCATAGTCGACTGAGTGGGAACAGTGAATTCTAAAATCATTATCTAGATCTGGAGAACTCTCTATTAGTAATATCTTGGGTAGTTGGTGATTGTAGATAAAACCATGTCATGACGCTCTGGAAAACAATGGGCCAACACAGCTAGACAGTGGTTGAAAATGGGAAGATGGAAGTGATGGCTAGGGAGGAGGCAGTAGTTTGCATTTATTTAGACTTAAATCTTCTCATAGGGATCGTGATCCTTTTTTGTTTTATTTTGTGAACATTGGAGTGTACTATAGATGTTCAAACTGTTTGCTTTGAGTATTTGATTGATAAAAGTTATAAGACTCTTAACCTGGTAAGGACTGCTCATTTTTTAAGTTTTTAAAAAAATTTCAAATTATTTTATTACTTTGGAAAGTGAATTTTTTCATTGATGTTTGTGTCAATATTCCATTGTGTGGGTGTACAATAGATTATTTATTTATTCTTGAAGATATCTTAGTTGCTTCCATATTTGGGCAATTTTAAATAAGACATAAATATTATGCACAAGTTTTTGTGTGTACATAGATTTTCAGTTAATTGAGTAAAAACTAAGAAGTGTAATTGCTGGATCATATGACGAATATGTTTAGTTTTGTTAAAATTTCAAACTGTCTTCCAAAGTGGCTGGACTGTTTTACATTTCTACCTGCATTCTAACATGTTATGTAGTGGTATGTTATTGTCGTATATTATTTTCCTAGACATTATCTTTGTTAATGTATCTTTTAAGGCCTTGGCTTATTTTTTAATGAATCTGTTTGTTTTCTTATTGAGTAGAAATAATTTTTAAATATTTTTTTAGGAAAATCAAAGTTAATCGTTCAATTGAAAGTTGCTCAATATCAATGTTTGCAAATCACCTGTCGGTCGTTCTACATACAAACCTAGAGACACACACCATTAGAATTATGTTTTCTTCTCATCTAAAAGTTTATCATAAACATATTTCTTTTGGTTTAATACATTTTTGCTGGAAAAGACTCCATTATATGATGGAGGATTGTAGGATTAGACATTATACCATACCTTCTTTATAAGCTTTATGAATAGCCAAATAAATATTATTTTAAAATGTACCAATTCTTGATTAACTCCTTTTTGTTCCAGATAAGTCCTTTAGGGTTTGAACTACTCAGAATCTCATATAAAAGCTGAATATTGCCCCATGCACTCAAGTAGTTTTCCAGTTGAACTTTATTCAAAAACTGAGGCAGAGAATCTTATTTCCCTATAGCATTATTGAGCATGAATTTATTTTTAAAAATAAGTATTAGTTTTATTGTCAGTTTCTGTTTATTTCTTCCTGTGAAACATTCTTTTCAATGTAAGATTTTCTTTCCAAATTATTGGTTGACCTATGAATCCCCTATCTCAATATCATCTTTAGAAATTAGCAAACTATCAAACAACTATTTACATTGGATCAACCAAATAGAGAAAAATATTGAAGCATACTTGTTGTAAAGGGTTTTCAAGACATTTGCCATTAACCTGGGACATTAGATAATCCAGTGGCAAGATATAAGTTATACAAGGCAGCAGTGCCCCTGAATCCCATGGGCGGCGACAGCCCCATGGGTGAAGTGCAGATGAGGGAGTAGCCCTGTTCTAGGGTGACCCAGGTCTGCTTTCCTGAAGGGTGAGGTTTGAGCACATGGACAGGGTATGAGCAGTTGGTTAGGCAAGGCTTTTGCATAATAAGGAAGAATAAGGCAAACAGCTGGCAGACTGGTTTGCCCAAGGCAAGAGTGAAAAATCCTAGTGATGATTCACATAGAAAGACTGAGAGTTGTCTCACACAAATAGTGTACCCACAGCCACTCCACTGGAAGGAATGAAAAGAACGCACGGTCATTACAGGAATCCTGAGGTGGTGAGAGCTGAGCCTAGAAGTCTTCAAAACTATCCTCCAGTAGGACGGGGAGTATTAAAAAAGGGGCTGGGAACAAAGAGGTAGACAGGAGAGGGGATAAGAAGGGTGTACAATCAAAGTGTACTACATATTTGCAAGTGTCACAATGAAACCCACTGTTTTGTGCAATTAATATGGGCTAATAATTATAATAAAAATTTAGCTTTCAGATTCCACACTTATTTTATTTAAAGCAACATGAGTACAATAAATACTTTCAGAGCTAACCTCAAGAAGCAGGGCTGGGCTGGCAAAAATAGCAACCTGTCTTTAAAGTAGTGGCACCATCTTTTTTTTTCCCCAGTACTGGGAATCGAACTCACGACCTTGTGCTTGCCAGGCAGGCACTGTGCCGCTGAACTAAATCCCCAGCCCCTTAGAGGCACCATCTTACTCATTTTGAGATCCCCAGTACCTAGGACAGTGCCTGGAATAAAAAAAGTATTTGACTTATGTCTGTTTATTAAGTATTTTTTCTCTGTGAGGAAGTAAGAAACATTCTTTTATTTTCTTTGTGATTCTCTGGTGACTTTAGATAATCACTTTGCCTTCTTTTATCTATCCATTATCTTTTAAAAAAATTTTGCCTGCCAGTGGAGTTACACAAACTGTTTAATTCATCGTAAGTCTCAGGCTTGAACTCCCTGTTAGTTCATTTTATTATTTTCCTCTTCATTCTCTACTCTTTATATTCCCTGTCTCATAGACACCCACTCTAATGGGCTCAGTATATCCTTAGATATAGTCTATTCCAGTTTCTAAAGCACATACAGCTATGCTTTCAATTTGCATAAATGGTATTAAGTCATAGATTTCACTGTGTTTCTTCCCACAACTCTATTGGCATGTAGTTTGAATACTTTTGTGTTCGCCATCATAGTAATTTCCACTTGCAGCGTAACTCTGAAAAGTCCTATTACATAGGTATTGTTTTCTGCTTCTAGCTATCATAATTCTTAAATGCCTCCTTCATGTCTGTCTCCCTTCCTGGCCCTCATCTTCCGCTTTATTCTTTTTCTTACTGTGCTTCTGCTGTTTAGCTCTCTTGCCAAGTTCCTCTCTTTCAGCTGTTACAGTTTTCATGCCCATTCCCTGACATAGATTTTTCTTCACACTTTTCCCCTGATTTGGCTATCTCCTATGTTTCTTTATGTCTTAAGGTATATAGATATTATAGCTTTGGATCTATCCAGTACATTAATTCTGCTCACCCTCATTTAGGAATTTCTACATGTTATTTATGCTTATCAGAAGTTGCTGTCATTTTTCTCCTGAGACTGAACTGTTCCCTTGGAATATTACCAACTTGAGCTGGTAAGGTATAGGGTATATGAAAGCCAGTGCTTTAACTGGTCCCTTTTAGGTGAGTTGAGGGGAGGACTCGAGAGCAGAGAGCTTCTGTTGGCACAGATGGGACTTGAGCAGTCTTAGCCTCCCCTTCCCCATGTATTAATATATAAACCAATATTTGCTTGCTACAGTATCTCCTTTGAGAAAACATTAGTGCTCCTGCACACAAGAAATCATGTTCACGGACCTGCCCTCAGGAAAAATCTGTACTTCTATAGCTTCATTCCTTGCTTCACTCAGGCCCATGTGGGAGGGACATGGAGGAGTAGTATTTGGCCCAGTGCTTCTCAACTCTGGCTACACACAGGAGTCACCTGAGGAATTCTGACAAATTATCAACATCAGGATCTCATTCTTAGAGACTTTCTGTCCTCCACAAAAATGTGTACCTTTAGAGGACCTCTGGACCCTAGTTTGTTGCAAGACTTACTTCCCTAGATTGTATTCTACCCAGCTCATGTGGGGGAGACTTGGACCAGGCACCATAAGAAGGTCAAGTTGCTTATCACTTTTACCATGCAAGTGTATTAGGTCGCCACCCCAAAAGATTCCATTGTTCTCCTGTAGTTGTTTTTCTCCTCTTGCTTGTACTGGAATAAGATGACAGTTTTTTTTATCATACAAAGGTACTAAGTCATCCTCACTTTGGCAGCACATATAATAAAAAAGATATAAAGTCAAGTAATGACTAGGCAAGCGGGAAGAGAATACACCATACCGGGAAATTTCTTTCCATTATCTGTGCTGTTCATGACATTATCACGGACAGTCTTCTCCGGTGAAAGTTCTGTGATCTACACATCTGACTCTCACTTTGTTGGCCTTTATAGAAAGGATGAGTTGTACAATCTGTGTGGTCCAGTGAAAAATAAAAAATATGAAGACAATTTCTTTAAACACTATTGAGAATTTCAATGCAGTCA